CTCTTGAGAGGCATGACCCTAGTGGCCTAGTATATGGTCGGATTTCTCTGGAAAAAGGACATGAATATAATATGTCAGCTATCAGTTGTGAAAAGCAAGTAGAACAAGAAGAGGTAAAGTTCAATCGAGTGAATGGTGATAGTTTTGAGTCGACTAAAGGAGTTTGTATCCCAAGATTTTTATAGATGGATACTGAAAGTTGATGTGGCCCAGATGGACACTAGGTATGACAAGTTATAGTCATTATCATGTCACATGAGCTAGCAACGACATGTCTAGAGTATCAAAGCACATTTCTAAGTGATCATGGCAATATGAATGACATTAATTGCTAATAACAAATGAGGATATACATGGCTTAAATATAAAGACACTAGAATGGATAAGTAGAAGACATGCCAAGGTACGAAGTATACAAAACGCATGAGCTAAGAGGTTAAAGGGGTAACATAAATTGTTTAAAAGGCAAGTCGTCATGAAAGGACGATATTAAACTTGTATAGACGGGGTATGTCTCATTTGGTGTTGATAAATTTGTGAAAGGTAATGTTTCGAGATCATACTCCAAAAAGCTTTATATAGGCCAATGGAGTAGCTGAGTATGAATTGATTAAAACTCTTACATTGTAAAGGGGTTGAATGTGTTGAATGAAGCACAAGGCTAGGTAATACTTTCGATGAGTTGTAAAATATTACATAAACGGATTAAGGCTAAAGAGTTGGAGAACATTAATATTACATTTTGAAAGTCAACGAATTGTAAGTGTTTCAAAGATATGTATTGATGTCTAATTTATCCTAAAGAGGTTGTGCGAAAATGAGGCTAAGGATATCCTATTAGATATGGAGGTTCTAATTGTGTAAACACATGTTAAAATATGGGTAGTAAGGGTATGATCGAAAATGAAAAAGAGAAAAAATAAAAATAAAAATTATACGGGGATGTGGTTCGAAAAAGATAGACCGTGAGTTGCTTGCATTATTGTTGTAGAAAAAAAACAAGGTTTATTATGAAACTGCATAAAGTTATGATATATGGATTTTTTTTGTGAAGCAGTCGTACTTGATCAAAATGGTTGAGCTTCGGCTCAGAGGCCTGAGGGAGTCGTACTTGCTAATGACATATTCAGGCATGGACTCAGAGGCATAAGGAAGTTGTACTTGGAGAAAAATATATGGGAATATGAACTCATGAATAGCTCAACAAAGTTGTACTCCAAATGTATATCTCAGATAAGTTCAAGTAGCGTACACATTAGTAAAGTTAAGATGTTTGTACGAATACAGAAAGAGAAATATGTTAACCATGATATTATAGCAAGGGTGGAGAATGATGATACTTAGCAACATGAGTTGCAGTTTGGAAGTATCGTGGTATTTAAGAAGGGAAAGGAACCAAGAGATCTCTATTGATTGTAGAGATTCGATCATAACATCGGAATCGGAAGATAAAACAATTATGATGATCACGAGATTTTATCCAAACTCAGTCAAAAGTGAAAACTATGAGAAGAGATTCTTGATTGGAAAATAAATGACCCTTAACATTTGGATACACACGTAAGTGTATGGGGCAAGTGTACTTGTGGCATAAAGATTTTGTAATGTCTATAAAAAAAAGGGGAAAAGACGAGTTGAATTTATCAAATATCTTCTCGAAGGAAATAAGTACAGGAAGAACAAATGAGATTGCACTAGGGATACAAGATTGATGTAGATGAAAGAGATACAATATTTTTGTTGTGGAAGTTAAAGGGATAGATTGTTATTGTTCGAACAAGTTGCCAATGAACAAACAAATGATTCAAATGAGTATTAGAAGTTCGGGTTAGGTATGAACCGACTTGAATACCAGTTTAAAAAAAGGTTGAATAAACATGAAAATGTTATTGTGCAAACTTAGCTCGATGAAATAGAGAAATATCTTTCCGAGTGTATTCCTAAACAGGAAGTGGACAATGTAACTTAAGACATGATTTCGAAGTGGATTTAGTATGTCGGAAGGGAGCGATAATCCTTAAGAGACGAAAATACCATCGGGTCATATTGAAGGCCAAGTGTCGAAGGCCTACATGTAGTGGTGGTATTATGATGATAAAACATTCCCAGCGAATGGAACCACAGACGTCGACGCTAAGAAATTGATGGCTGGTGTGTGTCGCAAACGAGTAATAGTGGGGAATGAATATTTTCTACGAAGAGGGCATATTAGCTATGATGATTAACAAGTTGGGGATTGAAGAAATTCCAGCTGTGATTGCTATAAGGGCGAGGAGATAAACTACATGTTATTGGCAAACAAGGTAAGGCGTTGGGTAGGGTCACTCACTCTATTAGATCAGGAGCAACAATGTCCAAATCATGGCAGCGACAGTCTTCCTTCACAACAGAAATACTGGAAGGACGGATGGAAGAAGGGTATCTGCCAACAGCCCCGTGCGAGGAAGAGCCGAAGGGAATTTCTCTTCGAAGTCTTTTGGTGTAACAAGACTTCTAAGAATGATAGAATCCACCGATGGAGGAGCAACATCCTCGGCCTTGCTCTTGCCCTTTGAAGAGCTGACGTTCTTTGAAGAATAATCCATTTGGATGAAAGAAAAGCTTTTTTGTTTGAAGGGAGTTAAAGGTTAATTAACAGTGAAGAAGAATTTTAGAAAGCTTGGAAAATTATGGAGTATAAGGGGAGAAGGTTGATGCATATAAGTAAAAGTTTTGGCGGCTAAATTCATGGCCATGATTACCTCGATAATCAGCAAAACCTATGTTGAATCGTGGGATGACGCGTGTTCAGGGCGTTAAATGCGGAGAAACGTGTGTCTAATCAACCGTCAGAAGCCTTAAGAGGGAATCATAGTAATTCCCGCCAAAAGAGTGTTTCTACCAACTTTCCGGTGACACAAAGCTATGTGACCAGAAAACAAGGGGACTATCTGTATAGGGTAAAATATGCTATGCCAGGCGGCCGCTTAAAAGAATGACACATGGAACCAATATTATCTCGTTTGGCACCGTGGGGAATGAGACTCATAAAGAGGCATTAAATACCTTCCACACTGTGGTATTAATGAAGGATATTCCACGACATTCAATATTGATGCTCACTGTTACATCTTCATCAATGGCCCTCATAATTGACATTATAGAAGAACACGATCCTAGGACCTTGTTCGCTAGACGTAGCTATAAATAGTGAGCTCTATTATCATTATAAGGGCATGATTTTTCTGGCAAAACTGAGACTACAATCTATTCAAAGCTCTATACAATTTTATCTTCTTACTTTTTGTTCTTATTACTGTTGCGCCCTGAAGCTTCACTACCGGAATCTTTATTTCAGTTATTTCGTCTTCATATCAAGGCTAAGTATATATATTTCCTCAATTATCTTATTATTTCAGGATCGAATTAATTCACTTGTGTAGAAACTACGTATATTCAACTGTACCGTTTTACGAGTAAACAATTACCCCTCTATAAAAGCAATCTTTATAAAAATAAAATCTTTAAGATTATCGATAATAGGTCTAGAGATTTTGACCAAAAATTTTAAAACTTTAGTACACCACTTAGAATAAAAAAAATATTACGTTAGTACATGCTTCCATAATTAAAAATTTATTTCATTAAGATGTGCACAAATATTTTCATTTCAATGGATGAAAATTTCCCATCTCCATCTTATTTGGGATTGCAGCGTAGTTATTATTGGATTAAAAAAATTCATCTTGTATAAAGTTTTAGATTTGAACATACTACTAAAGTTTAAGCTTTTCATGGACATTTCGATAACTTTTATCTATAAAAGTTAAATCATATCGAAATAGCAAATAGAGTTATAGGTGTATAACAATTAATTGGTAAGAAAGTCAAAGAATATCGAAACAAACAAGGTTGTTATAGAGAAATTTGACTGTACACTACATAATTTTGGATGACTTTTTGTTTTAATTTTAACCCTAATTTTCTAAAAAGACTTTGAGAGAAGAACTTTGGATATTTATTAATTTGTTATTTTATTTCGGAATTAATAATCTCAGAATTATAATACAACATTGAGTATGGTGAATTATGTTAGGATTGCGTATACCAATTAAACACGAGTTAAAATAATCTAATATTTTATTTTAGAACTGTTTTCCCCATTCTTGTAACCAAACGACCCATAAGAATTAAAATGAAAAAAATTTAAAATTAAAATTATTTCAAAATAGAAGATGTTATTCTTTTTGACGTATATTAAAAGGAAAAAAAATGTCATATAAAATAAAATTAAAAAAAATGATATTTAAGGTGTTTATTCTAAAAACTCAAATTCCGAACTCGTCTATAGTGTATAATACTAGAAAACATGAATAAAATAAAAATTGCTATTTGCTACTACTAACAGCTTGTTTGGATGGTTGTTACCTATCCTATTGTATTGTTACTTTAAATACAATGTTTGTTTGGATTGTTACTTAAATTTTATATATCGTATCGTTAAATCCGTCGTTACGTAACGATGAAATGTGCCACTTTATGTAACGACCGATTTGGTGTGGTCGCGTTGTTTCCTTGTGTTTTTCTCTCAATCCCACCCTTCATTATTATTAAATAATTTTATTTTATCATTTACCCTACCTTTTTATATACCGTATCATAATTGTTCTTTATAATATTGCAAGTTTATTCATCATATCACAGGTGCGTGATACCATAAAACGACGCCAAAATGATACAATCCATCCAAACATTGTATTCATCAAACGATACGATACAAATACAATACGATACGATATATTATGAAATGATACGTAACAACCATCCAAACAAGCCATAAAGAAAAAAAGAAAGATATGCCTAGGCTAAAAGAAAGGAGGAAATGGGAGAAAAAGCGAAAGAAGAGGAAGAGAGGTGTGGCGACCACTTAATAATGGGCCTCCCCAGACTGGTAAAAATGATCCAACGGCTGAGATGTCTTGCTCCTCTTCAATATATAGTCTTCCAATTTCTTCATCTCTCTCGAAAGAAAAAGGCTTTTCGCCATTTCACATCCCTTTTTGCCTAGCGATACAAAACATCTTCTCTCTCCAATCCAAAAAAAAGGTGCAATTCTTGTGCATTTTCCTTTGGTATGATAGCTACATGTTGATCCTTACTTGTCGTTTTTCTTTTGTCGTTTCATTAGTTTCTGTTGACCTATGGAAGAAAATGATCTTGTTGGATGGTTCAGCTATCTTTATATATACTTAGATTGAAATGCTATTCCGATGGATCTTTGCTTGACATTCATAACCTTGTGTCTTTTTTATTGCATTTCTGACTCACATATGGATCTCTTTGAAAATACTGATTGATATCCCTTTTTATTAGCAAAAGGCTCTCAATTTCTGCACTTACTTGAATTTTGCATATATTTGGAATGTAATACTAGCTATTTCTGTGTTTTCTTCCCTCTTAGCCTTTGCTTACAGTTCTGTGAGAGAAAAACTAAATAACGTGAAGCTTTCTTCTGTATAAAGCACAAACTAGTAGAGAAGAAGAATAAGTTGTGGTTTCTGGATACATTTGTATTTGATTAAGAAAGCTCGACACGATCATTCTACTGGGTGCTGATTACTGTTAAGATTAATTGTTATTTTGAATCATCAAATGCTCTAATACAGAAGCAAGATAGATGGTGATTTTTACCTTGTACTGAGGCTTCAGTTTTGGATGTAGAAAATAGCATAGATGGCAGACGGCGAGGATATTCAGCCACTCGTCTGTGACAATGGAACTGGAATGGTCAAGGTAAGCTGAAGTCTATGTTGTCCTATAATATTGTGTTAATGATGTTTGTTAACTTGTGATTTATTGTTATTGAAAAAGTTTGAGACATTCTTATTATACAGGCTGGGTTTGCTGGAGATGATGCTCCAAGAGCTGTATTCCCTAGCATTGTTGGACGGCCCCGCCATACTGGTGTGATGGTGGGCATGGGTCAAAAAGATGCCTACGTAGGGGATGAAGCTCAGTCAAAGCGTGGTATCTTAACCTTGAAATACCCAATTGAGCATGGTATTGTTAGCAATTGGGATGATATGGAGAAGATATGGCATCATACTTTCTACAACGAGCTCCGTGTTGCCCCTGAGGAGCATCCGGTCCTCCTAACTGAAGCACCTCTTAACCCCAAGGCTAACCGTGAAAAGATGACCCAAATTATGTTTGAGACTTTCAATACTCCAGCTATGTATGTTGCTATCCAAGCCGTCCTCTCACTGTATGCCAGTGGTCGTACTACTGGTAATAAATCCTTACTTTTTTGTTAAGTTATTATGTTTTTACTTAGTGATTACAATTACTATTTACTTATGGGATAAAGTCCTCGTATGATGCATTATAATTGGTTGGACTGATGCAGATACTGCAAAGTTCTTGTTGTTTGTATTTCGACAATGATTGTCTTAGATGTACCAAAGTAGTAGTCTCTTTTTTGTTATCCTTTGCAAAAACGCCATGTCAATGCTGACTATATACTTCCTTACTTACCATCGAAGAAACTGTTCATTTGTCAGCTTACACGGGGATTATGTGATTCACTTGTTATTGGAGATATTTTTGGGGCACCGGACCCATATTTTCTTGCATACTTAGGAGCACTTCAGATCATTGCAACTAATTATTTCTTTTCTCTCTGCAGGTATCGTGTTGGACTCTGGGGATGGTGTTAGCCATACAGTCCCCATCTATGAGGGTTATGCCCTTCCACATGCCATTCTTCGTCTTGACTTGGCAGGTCGTGACCTCACTGATAATTTTATGAAGATCCTCACTGAGCGTGGTTACTCGTTCACCACCACAGCTGAGCGGGAAATAGTGAGGGACGTGAAAGAAAAGCTTTCTTACATCGCTCTTGACTATGAGCAGGAACTGGAGACTTCAAAATCTGGCTCTTCTGTCGAGAAGACTTATGAGCTTCCTGATGGACAGGTGATCACCATTGGTGCTGAACGTTTCCGATGCCCTGAGGTACTTTTCCAACCTTCAATGATTGGAATGGAAGCAGCAGGAATCCATGAGACCACATACAACTCTATCATGAAGTGCGACGTGGATATTAGAAAGGATCTTTACGGAAACATAGTGCTTAGTGGTGGTTCTACTATGTTCCCTGGTATTGCTGATAGAATGAGCAAAGAGATAACTGCTTTGGCTCCAAGTAGCATGAAGATTAAGGTTGTGGCACCACCAGAGAGGAAATACAGTGTCTGGATTGGAGGCTCTATCTTAGCATCCCTCAGCACCTTCCAGCAGGTTTGCTTTCCCTTCCCCCCTTCCCTCCCCACCCTCCACTACCTAAAAGAAAAAAGTCACAGCGTTTTGTCTGTCTGTCTAATAATTACTTAAATGGAGAAGCTTGAGACAGTTGCTAATGCAGTTTGTATGTCTTGTTTGTCTGCAGATGTGGATAGCAAAGGCAGAGTATGATGAAGCTGGTCCGTCAATCGTTCACAGAAAGTGCTTCTGATTTTCCAAGAATGATAATGTTGGTGAAAGCAAAATACTTTCGAAATGCAGCATCTTATATTCTAGCTTTATTTTCTGTATTTGTTGTTCTCTGTGTTTGATTGAAATGAGTTGATTGTTGGATGATCTTATTCTTTTATTTTTATTGATTTAGAAGTTTCAACTTTCCATAATCATATTTCAATATGCGTCCACCATGCTACGACCTAAGATGGTTTGATCAGGTAACAATCTCATTGATAAAGAAAAGTAATACTAGTACATGATTTCATCCTGAGGTGGAAAGCAAGGAAGCTTGGCTATGTTTATTCTCTCTATCACAGAATGGATGGTGATCCCATGTCTTGTCATCACTAATTGGATCATTGAGAGCACTTCCCAGCGTTTGTTCAGTATTGCACCTCTCGGAAATGGTCGGACGTTTGCAGAAACTCCCAAACCCTTTTATTCCAACAGTCACTTTTCGCGCTCTGTCTCTCTCTTGTTTCAGGAAGCTTCTGTCTTCCAGTAGCATTATGATCCTCTCTGACATATTTCTAACACTTAATCCCCAGTTAAACCTGCATTGCACAGCACATATTTAATGCTAGTAGAATATTGAAAGCAAAGTGTAAATAAATACCAACCCTTTTTCATCAACATATTGAAAACTTGACATCTGTGTGATACCATCTTCATCACTTCGAAACTCCTCTGCAATACTTTGTGGTCCATGAGTTAGCAGGTATTCCAATAACATTAGAGCCTTATAAGATGACCTCCAATTTCTTGTCTCAAATTTCGACAATCTGTGCACATACCTAAAATGAATGAATTCCAAATCCAGGCAATTTAAGTACAAATAATATAGGTCTGGCCATAGAAACCTCTTATGCAGAATATCAACGATCCTCCAATAATCATCAACTTCAAAGGCTGCACGTGATATTAGTCTCATGGTTTGCATATTTGGTGCACTCAAATCTCCATTTGTTGCTTCTTCTGCCAGCCTTTAATACAAAAATGATAAGTAAGAAGAAACTGACTGAAGTCAATGAAAGTTAGTTTTCAAGAAAAGTTACAGTTGAGGAGGAGTAACATCTGTAAGAGCCAGTCGAGCAGTCCTGATTTTCTCTTTGAGGAACAAGGAAGCCTGCCTTCTGAATTCATGCAACACAGGAGAATCCATGTCGAATTTGTTATGGGGATAATCGATCAACTGAAATATATAGTTAGAAAGAATTGTCGATGGAAATACAACTAACTACTCCACTAACGTAACAAACAACAACTACTCTATAAAGTGGATTTGCGTATGTAATTGAGACTAATGGAACTATTAGGAAGGCTTCAACATTTGACAATTACATATTCTAAAGACAAATACCGCAACGTCATAATGGAAATTTCCATTTGTCAAACGTAATCTGGCAGCTGCCTATGTTTGCATTTTCCAGCATTAATTATTTCCTTCAGCGTTAACAAAACAAGAGGGAAATAATGCTTTATAGTGCCATTTTTACCACTGCAAACAAGTACAAGATAAGTAAATTTAACAAGTTTTCAGAGTAGGCGTGTTGTCAACATTTCCCTTATGGTCCTGTCCGTTTGGTTATATTTCGCATTTTGTTGAATTTTTAATTTTGGAATAAGCAACTTTCGAATTAAATCCTATATTAAGGTTGGGATAACAATCTATAAATTACTAATCTCAAAATAAAATACTAATTACAAAAATGTCCTTCTTCAAAATTCTTTTCCAAATGTCCTTTAAAATAACTCAAGGTTAAAATTAAAATTAAAAATCTATTGGACTGCTTTTATTCTATTTTTAATCTAACGAACCAAACATTATAAAATTCACTAAGTCCCTTTATTATTTAATTCCTATATTATTATATCATTTAAAATCCATAGAGGTTTATTTTGGGTTTATCCTCTTGAGAGATAGCACTTTGAGCTGAAATGGCGATGGCTCTTCTTCAGTACGGCTGCTCACTTCCCCTCGCACGGGCCTTACGGTCTCGCACTTTTACAGTCGCCTCCAGTAGCATCAGAGTACCCTCACTCAAGAAGGCTTCTCAAATGGATTCGCACGTCCTCCTTGGCTTGTCGGACGAACAACTTCAGCAAATAGCGCTCGACTTTGGTCAGGTTTGTTCACAGCCCGACAATTTGTAACCAAACTGTTAAAACGTCAACGGGTACGCCACTTAATTACTCTGTTTAATGTGCTACAGAAAAGTTTTAGAGGTAAACAACTGTATCATCTCATCTACAAGAGAAAGGTCAAGGAAATTCAGGAATTTAGTCAGCGTGAGTTTTTTGTTTTAGCCCTTATTTCTTTCTTACTATTGGAAATATTATTCTAGTTTTATTTATTTAAGACCAAAGTCTGTTTCATTTTTATGCTTGCTCTTACGTTTTGTAATTACTAATTTTTCTGTTAAATTTTGCAGTGCCGCTGGCATTCAGATCCGATTTAGAAGAAGCAGGATGGAGGGTTGGAAGGTCCCCAATTCATAAAGCAGTCACCGCAGCTGATGGGACCATCAAGGTGAATTTTCTTGCATGCTTATATTTTGGTCATGCTGTGTGTTAGTGGTTACAGATTTTTTGTTGCCCTAAGTAGAGTAGTTTTGCTGTTAATTTCATTTAGAAATAACTAAAGAACTTTCTTGTGTGCTTAACTTTGGTTGACTGTTTAGTCTGGTGTTATTTTAATGACTATACAAAAAAGATGGCCAGTTGAAGTTGATCCTAGATTGTCGATATACCTATACAAGGCATTTTGGCATGTGGTGACTCTTTTTTTTTATATGTCTGGTGCCTCCATTATACCATGGAGTGCAGGCTTTTTGCAGTATGAAAAACGCAAAGCGCAAAAAGAGATAGAACTCATGGGACTTTAAGTGAAAATCGAGAATGGGAGTGCACATGTCTTAGAAGTAAAGTGTACGTTTTTGAAAAATAGAAGAAGTACCAAATATATGTTTATAACATCAAGTTGCTAACTTCAGCTTCCAGTATATAATAATGACAACTTTTATAGTAATCCAACAATTCTGAATAGACATCAATAAAATATAATTTCACTAAGACCATAGAAAGATAACTTCAATCACAAAATTAATAGTTATATTCGGCTAGTCAACTATTAGAAAATTATGTTGCAGTATTGGCCCTCATGTTTAATTACTTTAGTAACTGAACTAAGACTAGAAAAAAGAAGCAAAAGAGAAGTCTGCAAGAAGTAGCAAGATTATTTGTGTATGAAAATAACTAGAAGCTGATGATGTAGCAGAGAAACAGTTGTAGAAGACAACGAGGGCAGTTGAAACATTGATATGTATGCGGAGAGGAGACCTAGAATCTACATAGCAAGAGGTCCTGTTTTTCCTTTTTCTACATTTATTGAAGTCAGATTCAAAGCATTGACCAGTTTTTACTCAAGTACTCTATGCCTCATTTTTAAAGCAAGCTGTTCTCATAGGCGCATCATTTCACCCATGGGAGAACTTGGTTTGCGTTGCTCTATCACTTTAGACGACAAAGGGATGATTTTTTAGTAGCATTGACTTTTCAACCTCTTTTTTTATTCTTCAACAGGTTGACTTTTTGCCGATGGAGTCCATATTCTTGTGAATCCTTCCTGTCATGGACCATTTAATGTTAGACCTTTTTTGACCCAAATATCCCACTAGCCCCAGAACAAATATAATATGGCTTCACCTCATCGTGCATCAACCAAAATATGATTTCGAATAACTACTTGGATTGAGAGGAGTTGTAAAATATGATTTTAGTAGGTGTACTGACTATATGGTGGTAGGAGCTTTCCATGTCTTTAGAAGTTAAAGCTAATGCCTGTATGTTGGTGTTTTGAAGGCAACTATAGGTATATCAAGCTGCTAAGCTACAGTATGAAAATTTTGGAGAGGGTGGTGGAGATGAGGGTGAGGAAGATTGTCTATTTTCGAGAACCAGTTCGGCTTCATGCCGGGATGATCGACTACCGAAGCCATTCATCTCATAAGGAGATTGGTGGAGCACTCTAAGGTGTGGAAGAGGAGTATTCATTAATTTGGAGAAAGCATTATAGAGGTGCTTGGAAGCTAGAGGTGTTCCTGTAGCGTACACTAGGGCGGTTAAGGACATATATGATGGTGCTAAAACACGAGTAAGGACAGTGGGAGGAGACTCGAGACACTTTCCAATCGTGATGAGGTTGCAGTCTTGCACCAGGGATCGGCTCTTAGCTCGTTCTTATTCGCGATGTATTGATGCGACACATTTATGGGGAGGTACCTTGGTGCATGTTATTTGCAGATGACATAGTGTTATTGATGAGACGCAAGATGGAGTTAACGCTAAGCTGGGGGTCTGGAGACAGATTGTGAAGTCCAAAGGCTTCAAGTTTAGCAGGACTAAAATTGAATACATGGAGTGCAAGTTCAGTGATGTAACTTAGGAAGCTGAAGTGGAAATGAGATTTTATACACAAGTCATCCCCAAGGGAAGAAGTTTCAAGTACCCGGGGTCAATAATCCAAGGTAATGGGGAGATTCATGATGATGTCACACACCGTATTGGAGCGGGGTGGAAGAAATTAAGGCTTGCATCCGGTGTCTTATGTGGTAAGAACGTGCCACTAGGAGGAGCAATACTAGATTCCGCAATGGTCGGTATGGGTAAGACTTCTATGGCGGAAGATGTAGAAGGAGTTATAGTAAACTCCTCAAGAGTCGGTATCGGTAAAAACCTCTGATATATCAAGGTGATCAGAAGAGGTAAAGTAAGGTCAAGACTCAAAAAATGTGACATCGGTTGACATAAGGTACCTATGAAGATCAGGTGATTAACAACGATATCCCTTTTGAACTCGAGAGCTAAGTTATGAACGAAACATGTGCTCCCAAACACACCAGGGGGAATAGAGTATAAGGGTGACTGGGAAAAAATTACCGAACACGGAATCTGACTATGAATTGAAGATGAAGGCATCCGATTAATTAGATAACAAGCCGTGAGAACTGCATCACCCCAAAAACACAGCGGGACATAAGACTCAATTAGAAGTGTGCGAGCAGTCTCAATGAGGTGTCTATTCTTTCTCTTTGCTACCCCATTTGCTGAGGGATATACAGATAAGATGTCTGATGAATAATTCCTTGAGAAGTCATAAACTGCTGAAATTGAGAGGATAAGTATTCTAAGGCATTATGACTACGAAAGATACGAATAGAAACGCCAAACTTATTTTTTTATTTCAGCACAAAACTCTGGAATATAAAAAACAACGAAGAACGATCTTTCATTAAAAAAATCCAAGTATATCTTGAGTAATCATCAAAAAAACTAACAAAATAACAAAATCCTAAGGTTGAACTGATTCTACTAAGACCCCATATATCAGAATGAATTAAAGAAAAAACAGATTCTGCACGACTCTCAACATTACGCGAAAAAGTGGCTCGGGTATGTTTCCCAAGTTGACACGACTCACAATCTAATGTAGACAAACTAGGAACCATCTTTTGAAGCTTGGATAAACTTGGATGTACTAAATGTCTATGAATTAGGTCCGGAGAATCTGTAACTGGACATGCTGTGGAAGGATTAAGTGAGTCAAGGTAGTAAAGGCCTTGTGATTCACGCCCTGTGCCAATCATCTGTCCCGTACTGCGGTCCTGCATAAGAAAAGAGTCATCAATAAAGTATATATCACAATGGAGGGCACGAGTCAACCGACTAACTGATGCAAGATTAAAAGGACAACCAGGGACATAAAGAACAGAATCTAAAGTGACAGAGGATAAGGGATTAGCTTGTCCAACTCTTTTTGCTTTTATTTGGACTCCATCGGCTAAAGTAACACTGGAAAGAGATTGTGAATAAACAATATTTGACAAAAGTGACTTATTAAAAATATGATCAGAGGCGCCTGAGTCCATGACCCACGGTCCAAGAGTAGTACAGAGCAAAGGAATTACCAGCAACAGAAGTATCGGTCTGAGCAACTGAGGCTACTTGTGGAAGTATCTACTTGCTCGATACTGGACGAACTCATTATATTCCCCTTCAGATAAAGAAAGTCTCTGCTTACCTGCAGTCTCTGTTTGAGCAACATGAACATTTTTATGTGGTCGACCATGCAAAGAGTGACACACCTCACGGGTGTGTCCAAGCCTATTACAATAACAATACTTGGGTCGAGACCTTCCAAAACAACCTCCGCCTCGTCTATTCCCCATAGTTCGAGATACCCGATTTTTCACTATTTGGGATGCAAGAACAAATGAGGGACAATCAGAGTAGCCAAAATCTAGTCATGCACAGAATCAAGGTCATTATGATGTCCAGCGAGTGTAAGAACTAGAAACATCTTTTGTCGTTACTCTTGTTTAGAGATGGCAATGGGACGGTGCGGGGCGGTTGCGGGGTGGGTTCAACCTTAACTCGCGAAGATTTCAACCCGCCCCGCACCGCCCCGCATAACAAAATTTTCAGTTTTCAACCCGCCCGCCTCGCATAGCAAAAGTTTTCTATTTTTTTCAATTTTGATGAGTAATTTTAGCCTATTATTATACTATGTCTAAAGCTTCCCTTTCTTATTTATATACAAAAAATTATGAGAAAGTTTCCAGAAGAGTAATACTCTATTTAGCAAAACTTTTAATTTTTGCTTACTTTGAGAGAGTTTCCAGAAACTACTTTCGTGGGACTACCATTTGTGTTTAGCTAAATCACTTTAAAAAAAAATTACTCCTGTTAGTACTCCCTGCGTTCCAATTTAAGTGAACCTGTTTGACTGGGCACGGAGTTTAAGAAAAAATAAGACTTTTGGAATTTGTGGTCCTGAAAAAGTCAAATAGGGCCCCAGAGTATTTGTGTGGTTATAAAAGCTTCTCATTAAGTATAAAATTGTAAGTTTAAGCTAAATTGTTACCAAATTTAGAAAGGGGTCATTCTTTTTGGAATGGACCAAAAAGCAAATAGGTTCACATAAACTGGAACAGAGGGAGTATTAGATGAGCAACTTATATTAGACCAATTTCGCAAAAATATGCTTTTGAACGTCAAATTATGTAGAGAAAAGCATCAAATTCACGATGGTACTAGTCAAGAGTGCTTCACCCGCAACCGCCCCGCAACCGCGCCTAAACCCACCCCGCCCCGCATAAGCTTAAACCCGCTCCGCCCCACACCCGCCCCGCCCCATTGCCATTCCTACTCTTGTTGCTTTTCAACACTAGCAGAAACTGACATCAACTTCTCAAATTCATCCATGACTGCCTGTACTTGTCCCAAGTAAGTCGACATATCGAATTCCCGTTTCTTCAAATTTGTCATCCACGATATCGCACCATAGAAACGAGATATGTCATTAGTGTATAAAGTACGAGCCTTTTCCCAAACTAAATGACATGACTAGAATGGACGAAACAAAGGCATCAATAGATCGTGACATGATACTACATAACTGAGCATCGATCTTTTCCCACCATGCTTTGGCCTTTTCATCTCCCTCACTAGCTTTTTTGGTTAAGTGATCTTGAACACCTTGAGCTTTACACCCACAACTCTACAGACGAAGCCCAAGATAAATGCCTTAGGATGAGTATTCTAAGGCATTATCGCCAAATTGATTTTTTTTTTCTGCACAAAAGCTCTGGAATATAAAAAACAACTCAGAATGATCTTTTATTAGGAAAATCCAAGTACATCTTGAGTAATCATCAATGAAACTAACAAAATAACGAAATCCTAAGGGTGAACTAACTCTATTAGGACCCCATATATCAGAATGAACTAAAGGAAAACAGACTCTGCACGACTCTCAACATTAAGCGAAAAAGTGGCTTGGGTATGTTTCCCAAGTTGACATGACTCACAATCTAATGTAGACCAACTAGATAAACTAGGCACCATCTTTTGAAGCTTGGATAAACTTGGATATCCTAAACGTCTTTGAATTAGGTTTGGAGAATCTGTAATTGGACATGCTGTGGAAGGATTGAGTGAATCAAGGTAGTAAAGGCCTTGTGATTCACGCCTTGTGCCAATCATCTGTCCCGTACTGTGGTCGTGCATACAAAAGAGTCATCAATAAAGTATATACCACAATGGAGGGCACGAGTCAACCGACTAACTGATGGAAGATTTAATGGAAAACCAGGGGCATAAAGAACATATCTAAGTGACAGAGGACAAAGGATTAGCTTGTCCAACTCCTTTTGCTTTGGTTTTGACTCCATTGGCTAAAGTAACACTAGGAAGAGACTGCGAATAAACAATATTTGACAAAAGTGACTTATTACCAAAAATATGATTAGAGGTGCCTGAGTCCATGACCTACGGTCCAAGAGTTGTAGACTGGGAAACAGAGCAAAGGAATTACCAGCAACAGAAGTTGTTTGAGCAACTGAGGCTACTTGTGGAGGTGTCTGCTTACTTGCTCGATAGTGAAGGAACTCATTATATTTCCCTTCAGATAAAGAAAACCTCTAGTTACCTGCAGTCTCTGTTTGAGCAACATGAGCATTTTTAGGTGGTCGACCATGCAAAGAGTAACACACCTCACGGGTGTGTCCAAGCCTATTACAATAAGAACACTTGGGTCGAGACCTTCCAAAACGACCTCCGCCTCGTCTATTCTCCATAGTTTGAGATACCCGATTTTTCACTGTCTCGGATGCGAGTACAGAGGAGTCAACCGTCTGTGATGAAATCACTATGTGACTAGGCACTGCAGCAAGGTGAAGTAATTGAGAGAATAGTTCATCAACTTTAGGGACAGTCAGACTAGCCAAAATATGGTCAAGCACTGAATCAAGGTCATTAGGAAGTCCAACGAGTGTAAGAACTAGAAACATCTTTTGTCGTTACTGTTGTTGCTTTTCAACACTAGCAAAAACTGACATGAACTTCTCAAATTCCTCCATTACTACTTGTCCCAGGTAAGTCGACATATCCAATTCCTATTTCTTCAAATTTGTCATCCGCGATATCACATCATAAAAACAAGATATGTCATTAGTGTATAAAGTACGAGCCTTTTCCCAAACTAAATCACATGCCTAGAATGGACGAAACAAAGGCATCAACTTGGAATCAATAGACACCACAAGAAAATAACTGAGCATCGATCTTTTCCCACTGTGCTTTGGCCTTTTCATCTCCCTTACTAGCCTTTTTGGTTAAGTGATCTTGAACACCTTGAGCTTTACACCGCAACTCCACAGACGAAGCCCAAGATAAATAATTTGAACTTCCAAGTAGGGGTTCAGAAGTAATCATAAAGGCTGAATTTCCAACTCCACTATTTTTGGAACCAAAAGCATCAAGTCCGAGAGACATGGTTGGATCAAATAAGTACGAAGTCACAAAAATTGGTGGCGAAGTTGGTCCAAAATAGTGTTAGGTCACAAAAACAGTTGAGAAGCAACAGAAAAATACACTGTAGCCGCCGGAAACTGGAACAGTCGTCGGAATATGCAAAAGTCACCGGAAAATAAAAAAGTTGTCGGAATATGATGAAACTCGAATGAGTAGAGTCGGAAAAGCCTAGTGAACAAGCTATCTCAAAGAAGGTCCGCGAAAAAATGGTCGGAAGGGGACCCACGCGCCTGTGCGTGGACCAGATCTCACCGAAAAAATTCTATTCCGGTAGGCGTGTGAAAGCTCTGCTACCGGAGATCTTTGTTGGCGTTTGGTCACCGGGGGTTGAGGGACCTTGTGGTGGTGTTGGTTTTTTGCACAACGCCGATGGAAATTAGTTTGACGTAAATCTGTCCTAGAATTGTTGGAAATTGACGCACGACGCACGACGACTGTCTGACTTTCCCGGACGTGTCTCACTCACGCTCTGATACCTTGTGAGAAATAATACACGGGAAAATATTCTATTGGTTTATTAACAATGATACAGTGAGCCCTATATATATAATACATGTTCTACTCTTACATATGGGACTAGGATTATTTACATATAACTATTTAAGACCTATGAAGATTGGAGGCTTAGGATTAATGGACCTAAAAGTTTTAACAAAGCCCAACAATTTGGGAGCTTGGCATTGAAGATCAAGTGCTATGGAGGAAGGTCACAACAAATAAATACGGGACTAGATGAGAATTAAAGTAAGTTCAAGGGAAGATGAGAGTTAAGAATCCTGAAGCAGATAATGAGGTCGAATACAAAACAGAAAAGGAAAACAAACAAAAGATTCTCACTTGAAGTTGAAAAGAGTATTTGATAGTTTGAAAAGGGGTATCTGGAAGTTCAAGCTGTGTTTGGAGACATGAATATCACTTGGAAAAAATGTTGAAATTTTTGATTGAAAACCACTGTTTCATTTGAAAAACCCTCAAAGCAGTTTTTCAACTTTAAATTCTCTATTTCACGTTAAAGTTGAAAAAATGGACCAAATTACAAAGAAAAACATTGATTTGCAAATAATATTTCAAGCTAAAGTTTAAATAATGAAATAATTAATTTTCTAGCTGAACTTTTTAGGACATAACTGATTCTCTCTCTCTATCTCTCTCTTTCTTTTCTGGTGTGTGTGTGTGTGGCGTAACTGGAAGCTAGGATTGTGTTAACACGGAAGGATGTTGTGTCCATATCCAGCTACTGAAGGAGAGCAAGTTGGAAGTGACTTTTAAAGAACGAGTTAGATAATGGACCTCCAACATATGCTATATAGCAAGTTATGTTATGCCCTGAGACAGCTTTTATTTTGTATGTCTTGGTGTTTTTATGTTAAATCTTCCCTAAGATTGTACTTTTTAGTTATAGTTTTTTTGGTCCGAGACAGAAAAAAGAAAAAAAGTTATAATTATTTTTGGGAGGTTGAATTCTTTTGTGTAGTACATATCTCTTTCTTCTGTCATCTTTTCCTTCTTTAACTATCTTAGAATTCCTGATATTTATCTTCAGTTGTTAATAAAACTCGAGGACAACCGATTGGTCGAGACTGTTGGAATTCCAGTTAAAGACAAAGATGGTTCATCTCGCTTGACAGCATGTGTTTCATCTCAGGTAACTTATTATCATCATTGATTAAATATATGCTCTCAGAATTAGCTACTAAAATTTTTTGTGGCTTTTACTCTTTATTCTGCCGCTGTGGCCATTCATTTCTTTGCTAATCAGGTGGGCTGCCCATTGCGCTGTTCGTTCTGTGCCACTGGCAAAGGAGGATTCTCAAGGAACCTTAAGAGCCATGAAATTGTTGATCAGGTTTTCTTTGCATCTCTGCCCTTAATATATACTGGCGTCTTCATAATTGCTTTCTTGTAGCTATAAAAGCTATATCGTGGGATTTCTATAGATTTTCTATCCATCATTTTGGATAGAAAATGGATGGCCTGTTAACATACCATAGCTGCTAAAAGCTGTTACCTTTATCACTCATGGTTTTGAACTTTAACTTGATCACAGTCAAGAGGATTCTGTGGGCACACGTATTGATTTTCGTTTTCTTGTTGATCCCAAATTCAAGAACATGGTATGTCTTTGTGGCATAAACTTAAGGAGATTATTTTGATTTATAATTAACCGCTGCAGGTCTTGGCAATAGAAGAGCTATTCAAGCAGAGAGTGACAAACGTTGTCTTTATGGGTATGGGGGAGCCAATGTTGAACATGAAAGAAGTCCTTGAAGCACATCGTTGCCTGAATAAGGTCTTGTAACATCCTTGATATGACTTTCTTTGTTCATTTCAGTTCCTCCCTCGAGTCTGACATGTTGATTGAACTAAAAATGTTTTCTGGTACAATGTATTTCCTGTCCTTTTCTACAAGAGTGTATTTTATATGTTTCTCTTGGTATAAAAGGCTCCCAAGATTCTGTTGCCTTCAAGAATATTGACAGATTCTGAGGTTAAGTAGTGTGTCGATTGCTTAAACATGCATTTCATTGCATAATTGGCCCTGCTGCTTGAATAGCTTTCTATGAATATTCACCTTGAAAAATGTGGGCACTTGGTTCTTACTCCTTTTCAGAGGGTAAAAGTATCTGAAATATGCAAGTGACTGAGAGATCTATTATGTCTTGCTAGAGAAATTTTTTCCTTCAAATGTAAATTAAACTTGATGAAGTAATATAAAGGCACTGGACAATAAGTGCCAAGAGCTGACACGATTGGTAGGATCATTCTTCCATATAGTTGACCCTTTAAGTTTTGTAGAAAAGCAGCATATTGTTCCATGTTATTTCATATGGTGTAGTATGAAATTTGAATTCTTTCTTTTCTTATAAGGATATTTTGATTGGGCAAAGGATGATTACGATTTCAACTGTTGGAGTTCCAAACACCATAAAGAAGCTCGCATCTTACAAACTTCAGTCAACATTGGCTCTCAGGTAGTAGTTACTCCCTCTACCTCCTAACCCCCCCCAAACACTACAAACACTAGCAACTCAAATAAAGCACAACAAAAGGAAGAAAAAGAATCTTAAAATGATAGCTGAGAAATGCATGTCTGGTCGCAGATACTTCTGGCTTTTCGTTATTAACTGCTGCTAGTTGTGTCCACGAGATTCAGAATATTTTGCACTGCTATGGTAGTGGTGTGGGACTTTGGGTGCTTATTTCCTTCTTCCAGTATGTTGTAAGGATTATTCTGAGCCCTTTTTATAAATAAAATAAAGGATTAGTCTGAGCCCTTAGTTTACAGCATATAGATTTTCTTGTGCCCCTTCGCATAATGTCCTTGCCTCCCGATATGTGGCTTTTATACTACTTTGGGGATTGTTCTAGCCCATATGCAGGCTAAACTTAAACATTGAATAAAAGCATAAGAATGATGTTTGCTACCAAATCTCTAATGACGACTTTAGATTTAAGAAACCATGAAGCTACCACATTTCAGTAGCAAGAAAGTTGATACCCCACTTAATTTCAGAGAAGTGTGGCCAACAGATCTGGACAAGATGTAGCATAAGAAGCAAGTGTACTGAGATTGTGTCCTAAATCATTTGTTTTTTCTTGCCATTGAATAGAAACATCAGATTTGCAAAAGTTGAAGAGTGGTTATCTGCAAACTCTAGGCAAGGAATTAAAACAGACAGTTCAGATATTGTTGGAACTTTATATATCTCATGATGTGATTAGTTTCATTTTTCCATTGGTACTTTTTTTTTTAGATGACTGAGAAATCCGTCTGGGGCCGATCCTTTGGACCAACCGCAGCCTTCGAAACTTGGTGGATAATGGACCCGCCCCTATACCCTTCTCCACTTAAAATTTTTTTCACTGGGACTTTACATCAAGTTTTCTCGAGGATTCTTATATTGGCCTACATAGAGCTGTGAAGATGCTGCATATTAACGGAGACATTCTTTTGTTCCCTGCTGATTTATCCTTAGCTATCTAGAATTTCTGATCTCTACTTTGTTTCACCGCTGTACATCAGCTTACATGCTCCAAATCAGAATCTTCGGGAAAAGATTGTACCAAGTGCAAAGTCCTACCCTTTGAATGCAATTATGAAGGATTGCAGGGACTACTTCCTGGAAACTAGAAGACGGGTTTCCTTTGAATATACACTTTTAGGTATTCAGTGAATTCTTCTCTTCTTTTTCCCCCCTTAGTGGTAGACTTTCTAGAGAACATGTGCCAAGTATGTGACTTTCAACCCTTATCAAAAAAAAAAAAAGTATGTGACTTCCAATTTTCGCTTTTTGGCAGCCGGAGTGAATGATTCGGTCGAGCATGCAATTGAACTGGCAGAATTGCTTCATGAATGGGGTCGTGGTCATCATGTGAACTTAATACCATTTAATCCAATAGAGGGCTCGGAGTATAAGCGTCCATCCAAAAGATCAGTATGCTTCGTCCAATCTCTACAACCTTCGCTGACGGATTTTCCCATTTATCTTCTTTCTGAACACTTCAACTGAGTTTATCTTGCATTGATGCATTCACGTTGAATTTTTTGGCGCAGGTTCTTGCTTTTGTCTCTGCTCTTGAATCTCGTAAAGTAACTGCTAGTGTACGTCAAACACGGGGACTTGATGCAAGTGCTGCTTGTGGACAGTTGAGAAATGAGTTTCAGAAGAGTCCTTTGCTTACTGGAAATGCAATTGAGGAATCTCATTCTGTAGTTGCACTTGCATCTTGATATCATAAAAGTTTTGCAAGCTTGAAGCTACTCCATTTGTTATGTGCTAAACCATATCAGCAGTGCTTGACAGCTTCTCAAGAACAGGTCTTTGGTACAAGCTGCTGCGTTAAGATGAAAGGAACCGTCGCTCTTGATGTTGTTGATGTTGGTGAAATTATAGGAATTGTATTTGTAGGTGGATGACCCAACAATTTGTTGAGCTTGTGCGCATGGATGTGATCCTTAGCCTCGAGTGCTCCTCCGTGGTTCAGCTATGCAAATACTCGAATATTTAAGAGATTAAAAAAGTAGTTTTGGATATGATAAAGAAGATGCTCTAGTAGTAGTTGAGGGAAACTGTTATTTCTTATACAAGAAGTTGATGCATAATGTACTCAGGTGCCAAATTATGTGCTTGTACACGATATTTTGTTGTAAATATCTCTGACGTATACTTGAATCAACCTAAGTAGGAGTTATCACTCACACTTGGATAAGCATGACCCCGTTGAGTTTGATCACCTTTAAAATTCGACAAATACTTAAAATCGTTTGTTACTAAATTATAACACATGCAGTCAAACAATTAAAAGGGAAAAAGGGTCAAATTATTAGAACCTTCCCAACAATGAAATTAGCTGAAATGAACAAAGGATCTTTATAAAAGAACAAAATAAAAACAGTTGAAATGATCAGGAAAGAATAGATGAGAAAATTTGAGAACTATTACTACATAGCATAATTATCTAGCCAACTGGTAACTAAACTTCTCTAACAGAATCATCAACAAACTAACTCTCTGACTAAAACTAAAAAAAAAAAAAAAAAAAAAAATCTCTAACTAATCAAATCAGTGTGGCCAGCTCACATTGCAACCTGTCACTCCACATTTCGGCCACAATTATAATGATGTCACGATTCAAAATTTCACCAGTGACCGTGATGACACCAAACGTGTCGGCTAGGCAAACCAAATCACGCAACAACTGAATAAACAACAGAAATGAAGCAATATATAAAATCTAACTGAGTTCTAGAGCTTAAATAAATCTAAAACCAACACCAATACGTGAAAATAGTAGTACAACCTTTAAGAATGTCAGAATATAACAATCTAAAATAAAATAACACTGTCTGAAGTAATTAACAGTCTTGAACATGAAAAGAATTCGAGGCCTGCGGATGAATGAGCTGCACTACCTCAAGTCTCCTTTAGTACAACAATAATCTACTCCTCAGCTCTGCTAGTACCAACATCTGGAACTGCACAAAAATATGCAGAAGTATAGTTAGAGTATAACAGATCAAATGCACTCCGTATGTATCAAAACTAACCTTGGCGAAGTAGTGACGAGATTGGTCAACTGATACTTACTATCTTAACCTGAACAGTCCATAAACATATACAATACAAGAATCTAGCAGAAACAGTGTATAAGATGATCTGGTACAATTAATAGAGACAAAAGCATGCTTTCAGGTAAAAAATGAGCAAAAGCTCATATTAGTACACTGAATCAGCATATAAATATGATATGCATGCAGAGCATTATCATACATGCCATGAATATGAGTCTAAAATATCTATGCATAATTAACCCTCGATGTCATCAACCGACGCTCTGCAAGTGTGCAACAAACCTGCACACACAAGGCCCAAGGTACAATAGGTGCTCATCTGACTCTGGAGGGACGGATCCAAATCCATGCGCTGCATAGACAACTGATCATGTGCTAATAACAATAACACTTGCACGAACAACTCACGTGCCACAATACTCACCTTGCACGGACAACTCACATGCCTTAACCTCAGTCTATATGAGAGTTTTCATATACAAAGTGTGTGCATATGCGCCATAAATAAAAGAAATGATGCATATGGACATAAGAAATTTAACATGCAAAGACATGCTGATGTCAACAGTGTATAGCTAGAACAAGTACGACATGATATCACAAATAGACATTTAATGTCAATAAGGTCCAAAAGCCTAAAGCATGATTTCTAACCTAATTAGGAGAGGTCACGTAATTACACAAGAATAACAACAAGTCATAAGTAGCATATGATGTAAATTAAAAGAAATATGGTAGCCTAAAATCTATCCAGAGCATGAATAGCCCATGACACTTTCATATACGCTCGCCATCGCGCATATACAACGCCCCCAATACATAGCAAATAGTCATACAAGGTCATCTTCTAAGATAGATTCCCTCGAGCCAAGTCTAGGCAAGATACTTACGATTATTGATATATCTTGTTCACAACCTCGGTTATCTATGCTTATGGCTTTACTAAAACTAGGTAGGTCATACTATACCATAACTCTTACTTCAGTTTATTACTACCGAGGTCTGTTACCCAACTCCAGGTTACTCTCCCTTGCTTACCCTATATGTATAAATCTAAGTCCTTTAACGCTTCCTTATTACTGTTCATCTTAATATGACGGCCTAATCTCATCTCATACTTTGTAATTTTTATCCATCTATTATTGATTCACCTTAATGTTGATCTATAATACACTACTGATAAATTGCAACCTCTTATGTAATACATTGTCACTAGGGCTCACGTCGTATGGGGGAACATTTGAAGTGATTTGCTTGATCCACCTAGGGACGATACTGTACTTCAATAACTGTATTCATAGCATCCCAATGTGATTCATCTTATGGGGGTATTCTAATCCTGTACAATTCATGAAATCCCTTTCTCGTTAAATCATTACTCAACCAAAGGTCTAAATATCATCCTCTTATCTATCACGATTACACCCTTATTCTACTACTAGGGCAACATTCCATCTCTTTTTGTTTCTCCTAGTCTTAGAGTCCTCTGAGTTCATCCAAGCTGTACCGAGCTTTCTATAACTTATGGAAACCATCAGCTCTCTTGTTTTGATGGGTTTAATCCCGAGGACTTACCTATTCTCGTGACCTTCTCACTTACATTTTCTTATCCTTACTCCTATCTACCTAAAACCTTGATGCTCTACGACACTTTATCTTGCGACCTACACATATCTATTTATACTACTTGCAAGCTTTAACTTGCTAGCATCATAGATTTCCTTTTGTGCCTTCTCAACTATCTTTAAATGTAAGCAATTACTTTTCCTGGTTGTTCTGCCACTTGTTGCATGAATCCATGGCTTATTTTAGGGCCCACGAATACTGGAATTCCCTGTAACTCATATGATCTCAAATAACTCTTTTGATTTTTTTTCCCGTTCATTAGCCACGATAGGTGCCACTTTCTTATGGAGTGTATACAGTATTGTAGTGAGACAGTTGTTACAAGACCATTTCTTCTTCAAGTTACTATGCTTAGGTTGAAGCCTTCTTCCTTATTTCCTCAGCTAGTCTTTCGTTGTAGTACTTAGAGGAGAGCCTCTGACCCTTGTAAATCTGCGAGCTTATTACATCATATACCTGATGGAATTTTTTATGTGCTCACTTATAACTATCCCTAGTTACTTACCTCCGCACCATTGTGATCGTAGGTTGCTTCTGAACTAGAATTTTGACTGTCTTCCTAGTGGCAGTCTCTTTTATTTCCATAACACTCATACGGTACCTTTAACAACCACTCCGTTTATCTTACATGATCTGCTAATTTGTTAGTATCCTCTTGTTTAGCCATAACTAGGCTCTTCCTGAATCAACTACTAACTACTCATTGGTCCATTCTCATATCTATATTCTGCGTAATCTCTCTTGGGATATGTCTTTTGTCTTAACTTACCTCTTGCACTGGCTCCTGATATATCAAGTGTCCATTCGCAATTATTTATCAATAACATCTTGGCCAGGAACTCTTACAACCTCTCCCCGGTATTGTGCTTGCATAATGTGTGGAGTTGAGACATATCTGTATGATCTGAATAAATGCAACCTCATCCCTTTTGCCTTTTTACCACATTCTTCCTTTACCATTCCATAGTTACTTGAACCACTTAACTTCGACTTAATACCACATCACACTATCTTCCAACTTTAGGGGAGTACTAAGATTTAGTGCTATGACGATACACCTACAGATGTTTTACCTCTTCATATGTGGCGTCTTCACATCATTAATTGGCCCTTACTCGCCTTATGATAAACCTTCTGTACCAGGGATAACTGAATTCCTTATGCACAAGGATGACACCTAGTGTAACTGGCACACTTAGTTATTTAAGCTTAACTCTGCTCACGATGCTTGCTTTAGGGAAGTGTCTTCCTGAATGAACTTTAAAGGTTATTCTCCTATTGTCCATTCTATTATTGGAGGAACACGATCTCTGAAATTCTCACGATGCCGACTATTATCAAATCCTTCAGTCCTTAATTCATGTTATATTTTTATCTTGTTCACTAGCCCATACTGATTTCTATTACTCCGGGTGTCTAACTTTTCCTTCTGGTAATCATGTTGGATTCACCAACTCATATCTCGAAATGGGGATATGCCTTTATGGCTTATACTCCTTTATTATCTCAAGGCCTGTAACCTTTTGCCTTTTCCTTCACTTGACTATGGACTGTGTAATCCTGTCATATTTTGATTTACCGTTATCATTCATTTATCATATCTTACTCATAATGCTTCATTTACTCTCTTCTTATTCTCCTACTAATATTTCTGTCTATCAATTTATTCTGAAAACTTCAACAAAATATTCCTTCACTTTTAGCTCCCCTTGCTTCATCTCACTGGCTCTTCGGGTCGCCTAACACTCTCTTTTTCCTAGGGGTGGGAGTCATACTAAGGTAAATAGTTATCCCTTCTAGGATTCCACTGCGTATCTTCTAAAGTTTTTGAACATTCTAGTATTCATATCTGACCGTACTATTCTAGAGTGCACCATCTAGGTGTCTCACAAGGAGATCTATTACCACGTTTACACTATCCTTCGGAAATGTTAGCTAATGATAACAATACATCCACCATTTTGGGTTACTCTAACCTTAGCTGGATCCTGATATCTCATCCTTCTCTTAAACTATATCTGTTAGCTCCCATAGGGCATAATTGAGATGGGTGTGGCCAATTATACATACTTCTGTTACTGTTGAAAGTAACTTAGAATGCTTATATTTCTCTACCTGAATTGTAAATACTGATAATCTTCACTAACTGGGTACCTCGTACCCTTCTTAACCTTGCTTCTTCTACTTGTTAAAACTTGTATCTACCATTTGATTCTCTTATTGCACCATATGGGTGGATAAATATCTTTGCCTTAGTTCTCCTTATCAAGAAGCTTACACGTCTTAGTACACACATGATCTGCTGAAGACCTCACATTTAATCATCATGAGCATGATGAAAAACCGAGTTCCTCTGACTCAACTCTTCCACAACCACATTCATATCTTACTAACTGTCTTTCTAGATGTAGGTATCATTGTACTATGATTAAAATAGAATTTAGGAGTTAGAATTCTTACAACTGAGATCTATTATACG